AGATTGAAAGAAGGGAGGAGATTGTGAATCAGCAATTTGAAAAATTTAAGCAGGAAATTAAAGAATTGGTGAAATCTAAGTTTGATTTTTTGGAGAAAAATTCTCAAAAGTGGTTAATGGTTTTACAGGATTTATGATACAGTTGGACACAAATACTAATGTACTAGAGTCTAAAATGGAAGAAATTCAAGATAAATTGGACAATAGAATTCAAAAAATTGAAAATGATTTGACAAACACTCAGGATAATAGTTTAGAAGAAAAACCTAAAATGGATGCTGATCAAAAGTATGGAAATGCAGAAAATCTGCAACAGAAGATTGAAAAAGAGATTTTAATGGTACAATATAATTTCACAGAATATGCGATAAGATTAAGAGGTTTGCAGGAAAATAATAGAGATGATTTAAGGAAAATATCTTCTGAATTTCTAGCTGGGATTCTAAAGGTTCAACCTGACGAAGTGTTTTGTAGGATCGACAGAGCTTATCGAATCAACTCCTGGATTGCTAAGCAAAGGCAATTGCCTAGAGATGTGGTGATTTATTTTACAGATAAGGAAATTAGGAATAATATCGTTCAAAATTCCTTCAATTCTAATTTGCAATTGTATGGAAGAAAGATTTGGATTTACAAGGAACTCCCACCTAAGATATTGATGGAAAGGAAGAAATTTGGTTTTCTGGTGAATGAGTTAAAAAAGAGAAATATCTCCTACAGGTGGGACACCCCAGTTGGTATTATATTTAGATACCAAGGAGAAAGATATCAGCTAAATACTGTTGAAAGAGCGGAAGAATTTTATCAAAATAGGTTGAAAATGAATTTAACATCTCCAGGTATAATACAGGATAAGCAGAAGGAGCCGGAAATAAAGGTAAAATATCGAATTACAGAGACTGTACCAGATGAATTGCCTTTGGATTTATTGGATACCCCAGCTGGACTATCTACAAATTTGAGAGAAGAGGCATCTAATCTTAATGTGATGACTTATCAAGGCAAGGATAAACATGGAAACCAATTAGGGGATATACAAGGGATAAAAAAGAAATATGAGATACAAAAGCAAAACCAACAAGACCAATCTACAAAGCAGAATAAAAACCGACCAGATGATACATATTTTGTAGAAAGGGAACCAGGATGGAAACCAAACCCACAAAAAGAAAAGAAAAAAAGAAATAGGTGGCATAGAAATAGAAATTTCTAAATTAGGCAACAGTGAAGCCAGTGATTTTAAAATATGAACGATTATGTGTAAATACAGAAGAGGCGACGTATTGGTTAATATCATCCTGAGGTTTGTGGCAGATCTCTGCATGGCCGTAATCTGGGGACGTGAAACGAGCCTTAAACTGATGGATTTGAATTATCCATTTTGGAATTTCTTTTTGTGTTGATAAACATATTATATTATCTTGAATCACAAGGCAAGAGAATTATGCTGGGGCATGCAGAAGATCGGGTTGTTACCCACTACGATGATGGGAATTAATAATCCTGATGAAACCCACAATTATTGCTATATGGAATATAATTATAATGTCACTCGGGTGGTTGTTTTTACTTTTATACATATAAGAAGATATTTACTACTGATGGGGGCAGATATGATTGAAGATCCTGAATAAACTGTTGCACCAGTAAGCTATGTTACCCGATTATGGATGTTGGTTCTACCAATCCAGTGGAAAGACCTCAAAGAAGATACTATATGGATTATAAATTTAAAGTCATTGTCTTTTCTTTTTTTTTATTTAGATATAATGGAAAATATAGACATATATTTTTAAGTAGTGTGGGCAGTGAATCAAAGATGTTAAGAAATGTTGTGTATGGCAATTTTGCATGATAGTGGGTGAATAAGCTAGTTAGTAGATTGACTAGTCTAAGAAAAGGGATTTTTAAGTGTTATACTTAGGGGAGTGGAGGAAATGGATAGAGTGGAATAAATGTTAAACTAGATTTTATGGGGAAGGCCGCTTTGAAATGTTATAGTAATATATATAGAAGATTAAATGTTAAAGTAGGACTTATCGTATAGTTTTAAAGTGGAGAAGTTATTCTATAATGTCATAGTATAATGTCTTTTTTTTCCCTTTCTTTTCTCTTTTTTGATATGTATGGATAAAGGGGGATGTTATAATATTAATAATATTTTTAGTAAGTAAAGGTCAATATCTAGAGGAGGGAGTAAGTAATCTGTTATGAATTAGGTTTTTTTTTGTTATGAAGAAGTCACAGGGGGGGATGGGTGGGGAGGGGGGGTTAGGGAGGGGGAGGGAGAGGGGAAAAAAAAGGGGGGGAAATTTGTATTTGAAAACTTTTTCAATAAAAAAAAAATGCTTTTGAAATCTAACCTTAAAAGCCAGAAGTCACTTACAGAGAATGTGTCATAAGAACTGGGTGTTTTCAAACTGGATTTTACATCAGTAGGAAAAGAATACAGCTTCCACTACTGTTAAAATAATCCATATTATTCTATCTTCTTCTATTAATCTATCTTTTATTAATTACTTTAGTAATGAATTTTCCCGTGTCTTATAGAATTAAATGAACTTTTCCCTCCTCTTCGCCTTATATGTTATATTTTTTTTATTGTTGTAAACCTGAAAAAGGACCCAAGTTATTGCTGATTTTGCCAACCTCACTTGGAGAATTTTTGACTAAAGAACAAGATAAAAGTGTATAGATGCATCTATACATAAATAAATTCGGTGTTAGAAAAGTACTTTGCAAAAATAACGATTTTATTGGGAGGGTGATCTACACATTACGCAGTCTTTTAATTCTACAGGAATGTTGATTGCCCAGAAAAGAAATGGTAGGCGTAGATGATCTTCACATTTAAAATCAATTCATGGCATTCCCATTTTCTAATCCTGCAATTAAGTAATACACTCTTCAATACACAGAAAAAGAAAAAAAGAAACAAATTTTATATAATTAATCCAAAATGCAAGGAGGGATGTGCTCAGAAAAATTTATGAAACTCTTATTTTTTGAAATGTCTGAAAATGACATTAAGATTAAAAATATTTTACCCATAACTCATTCTTTCTCTCCTCTCTTTCATCCCCCACCCACCACCTCGTTCCATACTTTGGCTTATAAATAGATATCCCTTTCTCAAAATAAATAGAAAAGGCTCCTCTGGATGAAAAGAAAAGGAGAAATTGGAAAGGGTTTCAGAAATTATTCAGTGGAAGGAATCTTTAGTTCTTTGTGACAGTGAAGATGATACCCTAAACACAATATAATCAGTCAGTCAGTCAGTCAGTCAGTCAGTCAGTCAGTCAGTCAAAAAAACTAGTGCAGAAAAAAGTTCAGTCCTCCTTGCTTTACTATGCTCTCTGCATACACATCCTTCCTGAATTTCCACAAAGGTTTTTCACATTTCTTAAGGCATCCTGCACAAAGGATTCTAATGTTTGCAAGTTCCACAAGAGATAGAGGCCAAATTCTACTTTCCACTCATAGTGAATGTTTTGCCAAATTCTACCCTGTATGACAAAATTGTTCTTTTATCACATATTCTTCTATTCCGAAAGAGGGAAAGAAAGGTTCTGAGAGGAAAGGTTTATTTATCGCAAGAAAATACCGTAGTACCAATACAGGCAGATGCCTCATCATCTGTTCAAACGCCCCTCTGGATGGAAATATTGAATATTGATGTTTAAGTTGTTTCTATTACTTCTTAACATCAAGAAAACACAGGAACTCCTCCAAAGTTTAATTGTGTTTGTCTCTGGCTTTGTTTTCATTATTAATTTATTTTTATACACATTTCTCTTTGAGCTGTCCTTTCAGGTTCTTGAGCCAATTTGCTGTGAAGGAACTTTGCTTGACCCCAGTCCACATTGTTTCAAGCTTTTTAAACCCTTCATTTTAAGGTCAACCCTGATCTCCACAACTATTATTTTCAAATCTCCTGCAGTGTCTCTTTCCTCAGCTGCTCTTGCTTCCTCAGGTTTTCTTCCCTTCAAACCAAAGCTGATTTAGGCATTTAAAACTGAAATTAAAACAAAGTGGGCTTTCTATATGCAAGTATATATTCAGCTCAGTCTGTAATCATACCAGATAATCACCTTCTCATGTGGTTGTTCTACATACTGTAGTTCCACCTGTTTAACATGACTGAATTAGGTAAAAAACACACGTCTAAGTTTTCCTTCTATGGAAATCCTGAAAATGATGATACCAGTAGTATTAGCCCAAATGCATGCATATTGATTGCTACATTATGAAGCTATGAATTGAGGAGTTCTTGGTGATTACTAGCTTCAGTTTCCTCTTAAAGGATTACCTTTGCAAAAAGATGAGAAAAGCAGTTTATTGGCTTAAATTCTTCAAAAGATTGTGATAATAAACTAGAAGAAAAACTATGTACTTCAGCCATCTCCCATTCCTCCTGATTCTTGGCCATACTGATTTGTGATGATGAAATCCAGGGGCATCTGAAAAGCAGAGCATCTTTTGACAATCTCGGTACGAAATTGTTTGCTATGTAAATAAGATTTCCTCTAAAAGATATTCTACCTTCCCTTTGCCCCCTCTAGTGAATGTGCAGCCCCTTCTCTTCTGACCAAAATTGTTTCAGTAAATACATGATGGGAGAAAAAGCCCCAGGGGCAGGTTTGAAGTGATATAATCAGACATCATGGAGTTGTGTCTGTTTTTATCAATTAGATCCTGAGGTGTAATAAGCACGATATATCCTACATTCTGTTTTGTAAGCTGCCTGGTAAGGCAGTAACAGTGTCAAACTAAGACTACTCTCAAAATGCTAAGAAATACTCCTGGTGAAATGAGAACCCTTGGCAAATAACTTCAGGGCATATGTGACATTGTAGGACAGTGGTTTTCAACATTTTGACCAGTTAGAATACATTTTCATTATCGTAATTCTGCATCTTACAAAAATTACATATTATATTTATTATAATATTTTTTCTTTCTTTCTCCTCCTCTTCCTTTCCCTTTTCTTTCTTCCACAGAAGTTTTGATGTTGGATTACATAGGTTCCTTATCAGGTAAGTCAAAATGTTTTGTTATATCACTCCTAATTAAGGCCCACAATCCAATGAGTTATTTCTTTTTTTTTAATCATACTTCCTAGATAGTTTGTAGTACTGTTGAAGTGAACCAGTAATATTTGAGTTCTGTTTTATTGATTTGATTTTATCACTGCCCAACTCCAAATGACTCTGTTAAAGTTATGGAGGGATTTCCTATTTAACAAATATGATGAATTAAAATCCAAGCTTCTATGAGCAGACCTGTGTTCCCTCCAACCTGAAAAATGATTCTGGTGGTATAGAGAATGCGCTGAGTAAACTTTCAAAGTTCTTGACATTGACTTTTTCCTAGCCCCAATTCTGCTAATAGAAGGCTTTGTTCAGCAGAAACATTTCACCCTCTATGTCAAAAAAAACATGTAGAATGATTTAGTAGTAGAACTAGAAAACAGATCTGAATGCAAATTGTTTAGCATTCTCTACTAGACAGCAAATTGATTTATAGGCTCTACAATACAACTCTGAGACCATGATTTATTTATTTAAACTTTATTTGATGCTAAGTACACTATTTCATCTGCAGACTGATAGAATAAATATAGAAAGGTGATTTTTCTCTCAATATAAATATAATTTCTCACAGAAGTGAATATATGTAGCTCAGGATTGAACTATAGAGTCCTTGGTGCTCTCTGAGCTTATTTTTTATTTTATTTTATTTTATTTTATTTTATTTTATTTTATTTTATTTTATTTTATTTTATTTTATTTTATTTTATTTATTTTATTTTATTTTATTTTATTTTATTTTATTTTATATTTTATTTTATTTATTTTATTTTATTTTATTTTATTTTATTTTATTTTATTTTATTTTATTTTATTTTATTTTATTTTATTTTATTAAATTTATATACCGCCCTACTCCCGAAGGACTCAGGGCGGTGTACAGCCAAAAAATAGATTACAAAATTTAAAAGAACAATATAAAACCATATTAAATAAATTTGGCCCAGAACAAATTAAAACACCCCCAATACTTAAAACAGATTTAAAATTTACAATTTAAAAAGTTAAAAGGGAGGAGTTGAGCCAGGCTGGCCTGTTGAAATAAGAAAGTCTTGAGGGCGCGGCGGAATGTGCATAGATCCGGGATCCTCCTGCAAGCTTGCTTTCTTGCAGACATTTCATTACCCTACTAGGTAACATCATCAATGTATTATGATGTTATCAGTCCATGAGACATTTCATTTGTTTAATGAAATGTCTGCAAGCAGACAACCAAGCTCAGAGTTCACCAAGGACTATATTGTATAATAATTTCTCAGATTTCTAGAAGATGGGACAAAAAGAAGAATAAGCAATTATGGCCAAATTAGGTTTCTTAGTTCATTTAATATTTATTAGTCAAGAAGTAAAATAAATATGATATGAAAACATCAGTAGGCAGGAAAAAACTGGATATATTTTTAATGATATACATAAAAATATTAATATGCTAAATAAGAAGATAGCAGATACCTGAGAGAATACCTGATACTTTGCTGTTTCATTAAACTGCGGTATGGGAAGGCATTTTGCTAATGAGAAGAGAGATTGGTGATTTGCAATCTTGCTTCTGTTCGCATTATTATCATTATACCTTCATGATAATGGGATTTGTGGGAATAGTTTCATCAGGAAAGAAGACACTTCATTGTTCTGATGTGTAAGAGGTTGGTATGACTGCAAAGTTGTTTTTTTTTCCCACCAGAGATTCATATGCAAATAAGCTTTTTTAAAAAAAAAAATTCCCTGAAACAAGTTCTTAAATCTGTAAAGTTGTTTGCTCACCTATTGCTTTTTGTAAGCACTATTTTTCTGCTGTTTGAGGAGGAAAAAAAGTAGAAAAAAAGTGGCAGGTTATGTTTTTGTTTTGCACTTTCTTTATCTGGAAAATGATATTATACTTTATATGCTTTATGATAAGACTATAAGATAAAGACCTGTTTCATCAGACTTTATTTTTCTTAAATATAGTTCACATTTACATGTTTATAATTTAGAGGATATAGTATATATTTTGCTATGATGTAACAGCCAATGGTTGAGTGTGTTACTGTTATATCAGTTTATATCAGTTCAGCGAATATGGGTTTATATCAGTTCAGCGAATATGGGTGGGATCACAGCTCTCAGGTGCTTTTATTTTGTGGGAAGTGTTGTATAATTCTGTAAGTATATGAGAAAATAACCCTGGACATGTTTTGGCTTAAGAATACTATAACAGGTAGCAGATTGTGACTAATCAGAATGATAGTGTCTCTCACTTATAAAAATGGGGCAGTATCTGAATGAAATAAAGGTTAAGACTCATGTGGTATCTAGCAAACCTTTGGGCCCATAGCAATCGCTTTAACAATATTTAGTTCTTATTTTTCCAGTGTTCTGTACAATTGCCTTCATACAATCATGACTTCCTGCTGGCTGTTCACATACCCATGCAGATACCTAAATACATCGTGCTAGCCAACTGATCAGGGAAACTGAGATTAGGAATAAGTTGCATTTTCCATTAGAAAATATTCACATAAGCAGAAATTTCCTAACAGTGAGAGCAATCAACCAATCAAATAGCTTTCCTTCAGACATTGTGGGTGCTCCACAATGGAGACTTTGAAAAAGAGAATGGACAACCATTTGTCTGAAATGGTATAGGGTCTCCTGCTCAAGCGGGAGGTTGGACTAGAAGACCTCTGAGGTCCCTTCCAGCTCTATTATTCTATGTTCACCAAGAGCCATGGTGGCGCAGTACTGCAGCAGGGCTAACTCACTGCTCACTCCAAGAGTTTGATTCTGAGTGGTTCAGGGTTGAATCGGCCTTCTATCCTTACAAGGTCAGTAAAATGAGGACCCAGATTGTTGGGGGCAATATGCTGACTCTGTAAAATGCTTAGAAAGGGTTGTAAAAAAAAAAAGAGGTTGTAAGTCTAAGGGCTATTGCTATTGCTAAATACTGTATTTTTCAGAGTATAAGACGCACCAGAGTATAAGACGCACCTTAGTTTTTGGGGAGGAAAATAAGAAAAAAGCTGATTGGCATATGGATCGGCCTCCCAGAATACCCCCAGTCAGCTGTTCCCAGAGGTGAATTTTAGCAACAGGTTCCTTGGTTGTGAGCTCTGTGCCTTGCTTCTTCTTCTTCTTCTTCTTCTTTTTTTTTTTTGCTTTTTTCCTGCCTCTGAAACTTCTGAAACTCCATTTCAGAAAAAACTTTATTTCCTGCCTCTGAAAGCCTCTGAAACAGAGCTTCAGAAAAAAAGCCTCTGAAGCTCTGTTTGTGGGCTTCTTTTCTGAAGCTCTGTTTGGGGACTTCTTTTCTGAAGCTTCTTTTCTGATGCTTTTTTCAGCCTCTGAAACCTCCGTTTGAGAAGCCGGGTGGGGCTACATTCGGAGTATAAGACGTACCCAGATTTTCACCCTCTTTTTTTGGGGGAAAAGGTGGGTCTTATACTCCAAAAAATACGGTAAGATGGACCTACACAACAGTAACTGATGTAAATTGATGGCTTTAATAAAGCATATAGATGACATGTACACCTAACTGGGACTGCTAAAGGTTTGTCTTATTCTAGGATGTTGGTTTGAACGGAGTTTAAAACCTCCAGAGCACAGACTGGAGAAGTAGAGAAACAAAGAGAGAAGAGGCTTTGAGACCTTTTACAATGCATCCAAGATCCTCAAAAAAGCCTTGACATCCTATAATCATACAGAAAGACTCACCTTAAATCCTGGCTCCATATCAAGTTTTTAAAGCTTTTCAGTCCATTTCTAAATAAATATATATGGGATGCTTGTGATAATGGTAGGGTATGTTGTTTGGGAGTGTGAGTGTACTTTTGAATGCAGAAGTCACTAGGTTGGCTGAGAACCTGAATGATATTCATTGAATGCTAGGTTACATGATGCAGTGACATGGAACTGAAAACCTGTGTATTAAAGACAAATATAATTGTAAATGATAGGATAAATGGACTGCATAATTGCAAGTCGCACATAAATGGCAAAAAACAGAGCAAGTAGATGAATGTGTACACTCCAATAGAGTGTTTATATAAAGGAGGAAATGAAATTTTAAAAAAGGCAATACCGGTAGAAAGATGGTGGGTAATATGTGGTCTGTTGCAAAGAATGATGAAAGAAGGTAAGATGGCTGTGTCTAAGAGCCTATTTCCTTCCTTTTGAAAGTGTAAGAGTTATAAGTGTCAGAAGAAATGTAAACAATGCGATGGAGTGGGAACAGGCTACTTATGTAGGCGATAAACTATAAGAGATAGGGTACATGGGTGCTGAAAGACCCTTTGCTGAATATGAAGGTGAATGAACCAAAGGAAAGAAATACATTGTGATGTCTTGTGCATATGAAGAGAATGAATGAGGATCAAAACTCGAAACAAACCATTGAAGGAAGAGCAAATAAATCAAGAGGAAAGGGAAGAGTGAGAAAGTCATGGCTACATGGAACTGAAGAGATCCTGAAAAAAGGAAGAAGTGAAATGTTTAACAAACAAGAGGCGGTGTAAAAAGCAGTGCACTGATGTGATTGAAACAGAAATGGTTTGCCAGGATAGAAAGATACAGGAAAGAGTGTTGTGCTAGAAAGTAATTTTTATTTATATGCCTTTTTCTTCCTGCATGATTTTAATTTTGTTGGTTTACTATTTCATATGTTTTTTCTGAATTTTGCAGAATATGGTTTATCCGAAAGAGAATAATATTATGGGTATACATATATTGTAATATGCAAGTATGCATTCATGCAACCATATAGTTGTCTGCCACAATCAATTTCCTCATGCTGACAGCTAACCATCCTTTGCCAGGATGGCAGATAACCACTACTGATTGATAGGCATCCCTGTCTCCCCCACTCTTTCCCCCGCTTTCTCCCCGCTCCCTCATCTTTCTCTTCAAACTTGCTATTGTGTTTTTCTCAGCAAGTTTCTGAAAATCAGTTTATAAGTATCTTGCAGTAG